GCAGGGGCGGGGCTTCGAGCGCGCTTCCCGCTCAACGCCCCGCCTACCCGCTCTTCCTCTCGCTTTCAAACTGGAGAGGCGCGGAGGTGCGTGTCGAGCGTCGGACTACAACTCCCGGCATGCAACGCTCAGGGCTGCAGTGACGTATTCTGGGGCCACACTCTGCCATCTGCGAGTCTCTGAAAGCGTTGGGTTGTTTCTTTTTTTTAAGATTGGTTTTTATTAAAGAATGAGGCAGTGTGTACAAAATACAAAGTGTGGAATTTCAAAATACAAACAGGAGGGAATTGGAACGTGTAAGTTTAGAACTGGAAATTAGAAGTAACTGAGATGAGAACAGGGATCAAAAAAGACAAACCAAAGGTAAAGCAGTAAGACAGAGGACATTAGACCTGAAAATCTATAGTCCTAATCTTTCTCATTTTACGCATTAGTAACAAAGGCTCAGAGAGGAGAAGTGGACTACTTACGTATTTATGTGCGGCTACAGTAATGCACTGGGTTTTTAAAATCCCCACAACGTATAAATTATGTGATCTACCTATCCCATCCTTATATTACAAGATTTTAAAGCTAGGTAATTCGCTGTCGTGTCAAATCCCAAAAGTTAGGGTTGAATATCCGATGCACAGAGAGCCAAACGCAGTCACATCAGCGCTTAAGAGCAGAGAAGGGTTCAGGAGCAGAGAAAGGTTTTGGCCAAAGCATTAGGGCGAGCCTGACTCACCCATTATGCCTTTGAACATAATGGGTGAGTTAGGAGTGCGGGAAATGGGATTCCCAGCCATCAAAGATGTTCGTCCCCACCCCCCTCACCAAACGCTCCCCCAGCCCCCGCCAGTCGATCAACCTTCTGAATGTCATTGAGGAAGTCTGCAGGACCTAAAGATTCTTTTTTTGTCTTTAAAGAAAAACAAGCTAATTAATCTTGCAATCAGTCCCTGGGGATTGGGATAAGAAGACGATCAATTATTAGTAAAATAAGTAAGACACATAATTTTTACAATATAGGCTAGGTTGTATAACTACTGTTGATCTAATGCTCCTTCGACCACAGCACAAATTAACCCCAACGTCTAATTCTGAAAAAGTTGCTTCAGAAGAAAGTGGGAATAAAATTACATAAATAGTATTTCCCGAATCGTGTATACCGTCATATTCCCTGACGGGCTTCAGAGCGCATTTTAGTGTGTTATTACTTCCACTCATGCGTTGTCAGTAAACATTGACACTGAGCTGGGCACTAAGGCCATAGGAGACATAAAGATACAATTGCAGCCCTCAAGGATTCAGATGATTTGGTCTACCCATAAGTGAATAAATCTTGGCAGGGCGCGGTGGCTCACGTTTATAATCCCAGCATTTTGTGAGGCTGAGGGGAGAGGATTGCCTGAGCCCGCGGGTACGAGACCAGCCAGGGAAACTTGGCGAGACCTCATCTCATAATCAATCAAGAAATGAGCCGGGCATCGTGGCGGGGGGCCTGTAGTTGCCACGACTTGGAAGACTGAGGCAGAAGGATCACCTGAACCCAGCGGGTCAAGGCTGCGGTGGCCCTGAGCGTGCCACTGCCCTCCAGCCTGGGTGACAGAGTGAGACTCCAACTCAAAAAAAAAAAAAAGTAAATAAATTTAATAGGTGATGATAACTGGCATTTATCTTGGCTTTACCACATGATTATAAGCCCTCTGTAAACAAGAATGCTGTCATATTTCTTTGTGCTCAAGTGATCGAGGCAGGCAGGGTAGATAGTAGGTGCTGAATAAGCACACGTGACCATTTCTGTTCATTTATGAAAAATCATTTCTGCCGGGCCTGCTAACCTGGAAAACACTGCCAGATACGCATTTGCTCTTGCAGAGACAGTCCCACGAGGATGTGGGCTAAAAGATACACGCACTTCAAAGTTTCACCTTCATTCAGGCCACTCAGGCCACTCAGGCCCTTCGAAGTGTTTTGTTTGTTTGTTTGTTTGTTTGTTTGTTTGCCATCTCCCTCCTGAAAAGCTTGGTCCTGCCATTTCCACAATCCGGTTTCCAGGCTCGCACTCCGGCGACTCCGGGTAAAGCCTCCAGCGAGCCCAGGGAGCGGCGCGCGGGCCGACGTCCCCTCGCGGGTGGCCGGGCCGA